AGTGTGTTGACTCCATTAGAAGGGTGGATGGTCACCAGAAGTGGGGAAGCTATCTGGGAATGGAACTGCCTCTTGTCCAGCTCTTGAGAGGCTGAGGCAAAGGTCATCAAGCTCGCAGGTTCGAGGCTGGTGTAAACCACATAGAGCTATAGTTATGTTTCTGTCTCAGAAAACAGAAGGTGGGGTGAGGCCCGAGGAAGGGAGCCTGAAAGGGAGAGGCTGTATTTGAGGACCTCCTGTAGCTTCAAAGCAAGAAAGTGTGGGAGCTTCAGCTCTGAGAGTTTAAAATGCTTGCAAGATGTATTGAAGGCTCTGAGAGTCACAATCCCCTTTTCAAGATTACTGCAATAATCGGTTTTTATGGCATTTCCCTCAAATTCTCCACTTTACACATGAAAGTTAAAGAAAAGGTAAATCTAGAAAATGGTGTAAAGATCTTCCTCCCTCCTTGCCTCCTTCCCTCCCTTCCTTCCTCCCTTCTTCTCTCCCCTTCCCTCACTCCTTTCCTTTCTTTCCTTCCTTCCTAGCTTTCTTCCTTACTTTATTGCTTTTGACTTTTTTAGACTGGCCTTGAACTCTTGTTCCTCCTGACTTTTCCTTCTAGCCCTGCACCACCTTGCCAGAAGGAAAGGACATTTTGAATGAGTGGACATTAATTAAAAAGAAAAGAAGAAAGAATTAATTGGGTTCATTTCAGGAATAAACAGAAACATAAACTGTTACCTACTGGTCGGAAAAGAATACTTTGTAATTAGCATAGAAATTGTTTGCAATGTAAATTCGTCTTCTGAAGCCCTTGACTAAGCGCAAAAACAGTATTTCATATTTTAAGAATCCCCTTGTGGGTAAAACCACTTTGTATCTATTTTAAGGCCTTGTTAAGTCTGCTTAAATGTAGTTAAAAAAATTTTTTTTTTGAGGATACTGGCTACATCAGAAAACAGCTTCCAGCAAGGTAAGGTCATTCTCTGCACCTGTGCTCCCAAAGGCCATTGTCACCTCGGGCAGATCTGATGGCGGGAGATTGTTACTAAGGGAACTGTGGGGGTGTGAATGTAAATTTCCTTTCTCAAAAGATCTGACTAGAGTATGGATCCAAAGGGAGCAGCCAGTAAATGCAGGAAGGAGAGCTCTTTGCTAATCCAAATAAATATAACTAGAGGAATATACAAATACATATATGTAACTCCAGGTTTTCCCTTTGAGCTGCAGCTTCTGCAGGAGGAGGCTGGGGAGGTAAGAAACCCAGTGGCTGGGAGCCAGAAACACTGAGAAGCATTGAGCACTGTATAACGGAAGGCAGGACTGCTATGGGCAAGGATAATGTTCTACCACGGGCAGACTTACTATCTATCTAGCTATACAAAGTTTCAACTCTTGTGGAGCCCAGGCTGGCTTCCTAGTCTGCCTAGGTAGCTGAGGATGACTTTGAACTCCTGATCCTGCAGGCTCCACCTCCCAAGTGCCAAGACCTCCAGAACTGTAGGCTGTATGCCATCTTCCTCAGCTGCTGGAATTCTTTGTCTCTTGTAGCTCTGGCCAGGCCCTTGACTTGCATGATCATGACACCTCACACGCAACCCTCTCAGCAAAGCGAAGACATGGCGTGCCTCCTTCTCTTCTGTTCCTGTTGGATCATGAGCACAAGAGTGACAGAGTCAAGACTCAACCCTGTAGTCTGGATTCCTACCCATCCCCGCCTCCACACCAGCCTCAGGTGAATCAGGAGGTCTTACGGTATCCTCATATTACATAAGGTGACAAGGCCTCTCCAGATACTATTTTCCAGCTCCGTCCCCGTTTCCACTTCAGTCTCCATCTCTCCTGTTCCCCACACCCCACGACACTCTAATGAGGTGCTCCATGTCCTGAAATATATGCATATCCTTGTTAAGGATGTAACGTTGTTTTGAATATGTATGCATTCTAAACTTAAATAAAAAGGCATTGTGCTATCGACCACAGTCTTTTCTTTTGCCAATCAATTGCGCGTGTGTGTGCACATGTGCGCGCGTGTGTGTATACATGTACATACACATTCTTTTTTTTTTAAGATTTTATTTATTTATTATGTACATAGTGTTTCCTTGCATGTTTGCCCACAGGCCAGACGAGGGCATCAGATCTCAGTACAGATGGTTGTGAGCCACCATGTGGTTGCTGGGAATTGAACTCAGGACCTCTGGATGAACAGTCATTGCTCTTAACCTCTGAGCCATCTCTCCAGCCCGTACATACACATTCTTTTTGTGTGTTTGTTTGCTTGAAGTCTTACTGTGTGGCGGGCCTGGCACTCATTCCACAGACCAGCCTGGTTTTGCATTACAGCAATCTTGCCTTCTTCCCGAGGGGTGGGACTGCAAATACAGTCCTTCAGGTCCAGCTCCGATTGTGTATTTTAAAGATCTCACCATGCTGCAGAACACATCAGTAAACACACAGACACATTCTGCTCACTGCTTCTAGTGCTCACACAACTGCACCACGGTTACTGTGACCAGTTCTAGAATGTTTTCCCCACTCGCTTCTATCCCTCACCTCCATAAATGCCTTTCATTTTGTTTGTTTTGTTCATTTTGTTGTTCAGACAGGAACTCCCTGTGTAGCTCAGGCTGGCCTTCACCTCAGTCTCAAGAGCCCTCTCTTCATATATGTGTGTGTGTGTGTGTGTGTATATATGTATGCAATGTATGTATGTTTCTGTGTATAATATACACATTATATGCACACATACAGACATGTATACATACACACATGTACATAAATGTATATACATATCAACATACATATATATTGTTGCTATAGTTACTTTTGTTTTTTGAGACTGTGTTTCTCTGTGTAACGCTGGCTGTCCTCCACTGTACACCAGGCTGACTTCAAACTCAGAGATTCACCCACCTCTGCCTCCCGAGTGCAGGGGTTGAAGGTGTGCCCCACCATGCCTGACTTGACTTCTTTGATTTTTGATCCCTCGCATGTGCGCAGTAGTTCACGAGTGTGCTTGGGTTGGCTTCTGAGTTCTTTGCAATTTCTATTTGTCTGCTTGCCTGGTTGTGTTCTCTCATCCCGTAACCAAGCTCATACTATTGTGAGAACAGATGGCCTTTGCCAAAGTCATATGCCCAGGAATCCCACTTTTCAGAAGTTATCTTATAGACGCACATGAATGAAGCAAACTGATGTTTATTTATACTGATTTATTTGCAAAGCATGATATAAGGGCCAAAATTTGGAAATAATAAAAAAAACTTTCAAAAAACAGTGACAAACAGTGAGTTCTAGATTGTGCTAAAAATAAAGCGAACATTACCTATACCATATATAAAGTCCTCGAAGCTACAAAGCTGACAAAGGAAGGCATGGAACAGTGTATATAATATGCTTATTTTTGAGGGATGAAAAGGCAAAACTGTATATTCAAATCTATTTGTATAAGGTCATTCTGAAAGGACAGAAACACAAGAAAGCGAGACCAAGGGTTTCTTCGAGGTTTTGGGACCTCAGGCAGCAAAGCAGCAAGGACAGGGACAGCATCCCGCCACCCACACTAGTAGAACTGCATGAAAGCATACATTTGCCAAAAGTAACCAAAAGCCTCGGCGCCTTGTTCAGTGGTAGAGAGATTGCCTAACATGCCTGAAGACTCTGGCTTCGTCTCAGCGCTGAAGAAGAAGCAAAGAAACCTACAAATAAAGAAAACAACGACTTGGGACTTGATGAACATTCTCCTCTGGGAGGAACTTAAATCTGTTGAGGCAGTTGTTTTCCCTGCCTGTGTGTCTGTGCATACATGCCTAGTGCCCAAGGAAAAAAGGGCCTCAGATCCCCTACAACCGAGTCTCTCACAGATGGCGTGAGCCACCATGTGGGAGCTAGGAATCAACCCTGGTCCTCCGCAGGAGCCGTCAGGGCTCCGAAGGTTTTGATGAGGATAAAATCCTTTAACTGACCTTTGCCTGCTCTGTCAGTTGTCAGTGTCAAAGTACAGTGAGAGCCACAAAGTAGGGTGAAGGCGTTGCTGGGTGGTGACCAGGCCTAGCAACAGTGAAGAAGTCAGGAAACAGGCTCCAAACTGTAGGTAACTATTTCTTTTCCTTTCCTTCCTTTCTTTTTTTTTCGAAACTTTATTTTTAATTTCTAAGAATTATTATTTTATGTGTAAGGATCTTTGCCTGTATGTTTGTGTATATATTTGGCCTGTATATATATATATACATATATATATGTATATATATATATCCATGCACCACTTGTGTGCCTGGTGACTGCAGAGGTCAGGAGAGAGCATTGGGGTCCCTGGAACTGGGGTCACAGACTATTGTGAGCTGCCATGTGGGTGCTGGGAATTAAATCTGGGTCCCGTGGAAGAATAGCCAGCGCTCTTAACCATCTCTCCAGCTCCTTTTGTTCTGTCTTACCTGTGGTGCTGAGGATGGAACCCAGGGCTCTGTGCATGCTTGGCAAGTGTTCAAGCACAGTGCTACATGCCCAGGCTGGTTAATTTTTAAACCTCGAGCACACAGAACTGCCTGTTCCACGCCTGTATGTTTGCCAGCTTTATTAAGGAATTGCATCTGTGTATGGAGGAGGGGGGCGGGGAATGAATTGCAAAACATGAAACCGTAGTACCTTCTGTCCCTGAGTAAGGACAACTTGAAGTCCGGAGTCAGGCTGGGCCTCCTCACCCACCTGGTGGTATATCAGTCTAACTACAGGCAAAGTACTCAGAGATCCGTCTCTGCAAATCCGAACCCTAGGAGTGCAATAGGGCGTGCCTTGAAAACTTGTTTGCTTTGCTTGTTTTTTAAAACATTGGTCACATGTTTTGTTCTGAAGGATCATAGGTTCCAAATTAGTAGAGTCAAAATTAATGAGACTTTCCATCAATAAGCCTGAGGATAGAAAGTCGGAAAAATCTACTAATTATAGGCCAGCCAATCACCGAAGCACAACTTGTATACAGGCCTATGAGAAGAGGGAGATAGAGGAAGCGGGGAAAACCCGGATGGACCAACCTGTGGGACCATCCTTCCTGTGCTTGTGCCCTTGCCCCTGGACTTGGGGACTCAGCACCCAATGCTTCCTGCCTCCAAATCTCCCCTCCCGGGACAGGCTGTGCCAGGGCCAGCTTCTGAGAACTATGTAAGTCTTCAGGCCAAATTCCTGGAACCTCCAGAATAAGGCCCCGTGTGGAGGTGGGGGCCTACTTTCTACTTAGTTCTGGGAAGCAGTTGGAGGGGGAGGATGGCAGAGGGTAGAAAAGGCAGACCAAATACCCATTCTACCCTAGCCTGTCCGTTTCCTTTTTCATCTCTTTATCAGTATTTGTAACTGAGCTTCTTATCAGCAGGAAACGCCTGCCTGAAGGGATGAGGCAGGTCCAGGGGGATTGGACGCCAAAGACTAAGAATTCTGGGTAGTGCCGTGCTGCTGATCTGCCTGGCTGAGCTGCCTTGGGATTTCCAGGATCCAGACTCATTGCCCTGGCATCTAGTGACGGCTGAAGGAGCTCCAGCAGGAGCCTCGGTGACCAAGGACAGGTCACTATAAAGTGAGAATTGTCTTGCCTTAATCTCTACCAGTCCCCCTCCTTCCCAGAGGAGAAGCCAAGTACCAGCCAAGGTCATAAGCAGCCATAAGTCATCCCAATCAGCCCTTTTGGGTGTTTGCCTCTGAGTCCTTAGGCTGGTGCTGGTGAAGGGCACAGCCGTGGGACAGGCACTGCCGTGGGACAGGCACAGCCATCATGTGGCATAGACTTGGGGCTGGAGGGGAGGAGGGGACTGTGCCTCTTCCTATTTAGCAGATGCTTTCGAGATATTGTACGCCACCTGGGTGTGGTGACACATGCTGGTAACCTCACTTACTTGGGGAGTTGAGGCAGGAGGGTGGAGAGTTTGAGGCCAACCTGGCCACGATAGGGAGAACAGCCTAAGTTCTAAATTCTGTCTTAAAAAACAAAAATCATCAAATTAAGAGTCTGGTGGCTCAGAGGGGTCTTCCAGGAGTGGCTGACTGAAGGTTAGATTTGTTGCCCTAACGTGATTATCTGGGGGTAAGCAAGGCTTTCTGGGTGGCTCAAGCCCAGGTTAATCTATTTTTCTAGCTGTCCTCCTCCCCGCTCCAAACTGTCAGAATCCAGAACATTCAGACTGGCAGTTCTGGTGGCAGAGGCAGGAAAGGAGCCAGAGCACCCAAGTCCTAAACCTCATGTGCTGCTCTCTGCTGCCCAGGAGCGAGCAGCCGGGCTGTGGGTGACGGAGGTGATGAGGTGCGGGCTGGGTCTCCACGGACAGCCCTCCCCCGCCCCCTGTGCTCCTGCGGGTTGGGATGTAGGTCAATAAGAGTGGGTGGGTGAGGAAGACCAGAAAAGAGACTCATCTCAACATGACACCCCTCAGGGCAGCGGTGGCAACACTTGAACCTGGAAACTGCCTGAAAATAGACACTGTGTCTATGTCATTATGCAAATTATATGCAAAGTCAAGAAGTCCTCTGTCTCTATTTCTAGCAAACTGAACGTGGCCCTGGTAGAGGCAGCTTGTTTCAAAAGTCGTCCACCAGAAGCTACCATCAGTGCCAGCCCTGGGACACTGGACTTGGCACCCCCCCAGTCTACCTCAGGGTGGACTTTCAAAGTACGATTTTGCCATCTCTTGGGCTACTAGTCATTTCTTGGTTCGTTTGCAGCTCCGGCTGGGCCCTGAAATTGTGTTGTGGCTGAGGATGATCTTGAAATCCTGATCTTCCTGCCTCCTCCTCCCAAGTGCTGGAACTGCGGGTGTGCACCATGCCGCTTGGCGGAGGGATAAGGCAGAGGAAGCAGGGCACCTTCCTTACAGGCTGGTGTGAGGCATGACAGTGGGAGGCAGAGCCTGGGAAGGAAAAGAATTGCCCAGGAGGGCCTGGGTACCAAGAGGCCTTGGCAGAGGACGAGTCCAGCTTCAGTATCCCAGCTATGCTGCAGGGGCGCCTCAGCTCAGCATGCTGGGACACCCTCAATTGTTATATGTAATAAGGAAATTGGAGGCTGGGTTTCCCCGGGGAAATCAGGAAAAAGAAGCTAAGAGCAAAGGACTTATGGGTTCTCTTCTTTCCAAGGCAGTAACGGGGATGTCCATGTGCCCTTGGGCCACAGTGACCTCAGAAGGACTCTTCCAAAGCGTGGTGAAGGGTTTGTCGGTCCTGCCAGATCCTGCCCAGCCTACATGGAAACCTTGCACTGCCGTTTTCCCACTGCCTTTTCCGGTCCTCAACCACACTGTGACCATCTGCATGCCAGTGGGACCACTGGGCCCTGGAAGGAGAAAAAGGTGGGAACATCCCCATCGTCTAGGGGCTTCTGGAAAGGTCTTGCCTGGTGTGTGTGAGGGAGGAGGTCCAGGACTCTGGTGCAGAAGGCTGCAGGTTTGGGGCATAATTCTAACAGGGAGTACACCAACTTGTCAACCGCAGAAGAAACTGGGCACGCTCCCTATGTTCCTGAGAGAGGTTCAATACCCTTTTGTTAGAAAGTTTGTATTTCTGGGCTGGACAGACAGTACCATAAACTCCTTCGGTATCTGTCCTCCATTTTCTATCCTGCCCCTCCAGTGGCAGGTCGTTCACAATTTTCCGGGTGGCGAGGGAGGGGGCATGAGGTGTTATCTGAGCAGGGATCGGGTTTTCAGGTAAGAGAAGCTTTTCATTCTGGGGGTGTGTACTGATTCCAGACAAGGGGTGGAGAGCATCTGGGAGAATTAAGAAGGAGGGAGGGGCGGAGCCGCCTCTGAGTAAGGCCCCAAAAAGCTCCTTTGCTAGGTGTGGCTTCCAGGCACAGTTCCTACAGCCGAGAAGGGCTGAGAGCACGCACGCAAGCACGCACGCTGCAGTGCGGATAGGGAGGAGGGCCTGGGCCTGCTGGGAGGAGCCAGGCGGCTCCGCGAGGCGGGGGTTGGAGGGGGGTGGGGGTGCGGCCTTGGGCAGCGCGTTGGCCAGCAGAGGGCGACGTGGCTGGCGTGGATCAGGTTGCTTCCTACCCTGGGAGAGATCTAAAGTTTGAACCTCAGCGCGGTTCTAGTTCTAGAGCGGTCTTGTCCAAGGGCAGTTTCGTGATGTGTGCTTCGGGTTCTCTCTGGACCTCTGCAACTGGACCACTGCGGAGGTTCTAGCCTTAAAAGACGTAGCAGAAACTCAAGGGGCAACTAAGGTTTATTCAGTCCCTACGACATGCATCCACCAGCTAAATGCTCCCATAAACTGTATCTTTAAGTACAGAAAGGTAGGTTCCATCCATACATCTGCACTTAGAAGCATTCGGACATAGCTGTCTCCAGAGAGCCCCTTTCTTTTCTAAGCCCCCGTCAGACAACCCGTCCTTCGGCAGCTCTCCGCCCTCTTTCGGCGGCTCTCCGCCCTCCTTCGGCGGCTCTCCGCTTAGGATTTCCTAGCCCTGGAAGAGCTTCTGTCTTCAGTTTCCTGCTGTGGAGTCCAAGGCGGAGTTTTTTCCCAAGTCTGGTAGAAATAAAAGCCTCCAGGCGGGAAGGCGAGTCCCTGGCCGCAGTCACCAGAGAACCATCCACTGTGCCCCGCTGGTCTGCTTTCTGTTTTCATATAGTTTCATTTCCTGGTTCTCCTTGGTCCTTGTACATTGAGAAAAAACGGTGATGGGAGGACATACAACAGAGACACTCATGGGGAGTGTGTGTGTGTGTGTGTGTGCGCGCGCGCGCGCCGCGCGGCCAGCTAGGCCAGGTCTTCCTAAAATTGAGGATGATCTTGTCTCTTGCCTGAGCCCCACCCTCCCCTCCTTAAGCCTTGCTGTAAACCACTTCTCTTCAGTCTATCCGCCCAGGCTTCAGCTGCCCTGGTCAGCACATGACTGTATACCCCTCACATGTCTAAATGCCAGGCTTCTGGTGTTGTTCTAGGCCAAGTTCTCCTGAGGTCCACTTTCTTGGGCCTGGACGAGTCAAGGCCAGGAGGGAGCAGAACCCTGGTAGCTGGAGGCTTCTTGACAGGAGCCAAGTTTCTTTTCAGTCTTGGAAACCACTCCTGAGCCCTGGGACAAAGAAGGCCAAGCCACAGAGGGAGTCAGAGGGTCCAGTGCTGCCGAGTCCCAGGGTGGCCACTAGTACAGCTGCAGGAAAGAACTGGAGTTTGGAGAGAGGACCAGGAGATGCTTTAGGTTGTCCTGGACCCAGAGTTATTCCACACCCCAGCTTGAGGCAAACGACTGGGGAGGGGACAGGAGCAGTTGATGACTGATGGACTGAGCTTCAGCGAAAATCGGGGTCAGAGAAGCCTCAAAGGATACACGGGCCAAATCTAAGATATTAAGACAGCCAGGTCCCTCTCCTATTGAACAGAGCAATGCTGGCTCTTCTCCACCAGTTTCGACCTTCCTTCTCCTCAGAAGACCCTTGCATTTTGATACCCTCACGAGTCAGCTGGGATGGTAAGGGGACAGAGGGTGGCAGGATCAGGTGCCACCTCACCTGAGAGACTGGCATTTACTAGCCAGGGTCTAGCCAGGAAAGGCATCATTGAAGTGATAAAAACCCACAGTGAGAAACTGAGGCCGCTGCGTCTCTTCCACTGAGCCCTGGCACGATGGAGTGTCTGCTGAAGCTAGACAGGGCCCCGTGCCATCCTGGCAGCTCCGGTGGGGCAGTAAGGCTGACCAAGGGTAGGAGAGATTGCAAGCCCAGGATTTGAGCCCGGGGTTCTCTTGCTTGGCTACCCTGCCCTGGGAGTGGCAGGGGTGTACCCTGCTGGCTTTGGGGATGGGAGGTCCAGCCAGGCGTCAGAGAGCCCGCCACTTTGAGCAGGCCAGACAGAGGCAGATCGAATTTCAGCCCAGTTGTATTTTTGACTGGATGGGCTGGGGGCCAAGCTGGGCAGGCACACACAGGGCAGCGTGCACACTTGCACTACCTCTACCCAGATAGGGTTCATCTTCTGCCCCACCACACGCCTCAGGTGGAGGAGTCCAGCGACCCTGGGCTAGTGAATCACTTTGGGCTTCTCTGGGTTGTGGCTGAGCTTCTGTAAAGTCTTCTTGATGCGCAGCGCGGTGAGGCGAGCAGAGGGGTTGGGATACCAGCACTCCCGCATCATCTGGGCCAGCCCGGAGAGGACCTGGGGGGGGGTTGAGAGACAGGCAGAGGAGTCAGGAAGATGGAAAGGAGGCAGAGGCAGAGGAAGCAATGGCTCAGTGTGGGAGACATAGCAGGAGAAAGGCCAGGCCAGGGGGAAGAAAGGCAAGAAACGAAAGAGAGCAGAAGGGAGAAGGCAAGGGTGAGGAGGGGAGGATACGTGGAAGAGGAAAAATGGAGAGTGAGAAAGAAGGTGGCAGCAAGCCAGCAGGAGAGCCCACCCTGGTGAACAGCCTCTGCAGCCCCAGACCTGGTGCACAGGGTCCCGTGAGTGACCGAGAGTGTGGCAAGGGTGGACCTCTGTCCAGGAAGGAGCCTATCCCAAGAAGTTCAGTGGCCCTTGGACGTGGCATCCTGTCTCCCCTGGCCCCGGAGAGTATGTGCACGTGCGCAGGAACGCATCTGTGTGGCCTCTGATGTATACATGCATATATTCATTATCTTTCAGTAAAAATTCAGTGAGGGCATCCAGTTACTAAAGTGGAAATATCAGAGTGAGAAGTAGGAGGGGCTTCTTGAAAGGAGGGGGTGGTTAGAGAGGAGAATGAAGTGGATGTGGTCAAAATACATTATGTTTGCATGAAACTGAAAGGAGAAATTTATATTGGGTTTTGTTGTTGTTTTTCAAGGCAGGGTTTCTTTGTACAACCTGTAGACCAGGCTGGCCTTGAACTCAGAGAAATCCACCTGCCTCTGCCTTCTGAGTGTTGGGATTAAAGGTGTGAACCACCACTGCCTGGCTTGTTGCGGGAGGTCTTTCTGCCCCTCCAACCAATAGCTGCTGTGATACCAGCCCATTGGGGCCTGGTCTCTCTCCCTTTAAAAAAGCGGCTATTTCCTCTGCTCGCTCTCTTCACTTCCTGCTCCGCCGGAGACTAGACTCCCTTCCTGGTTGTGCAGATGGCTGTTGTCTGGGATTGTGATCTGTAAGTTTTTTTCCCCTTTAAATAAATAACACCCTATTAATCATAACTCCAAACTGGTGTTGCCTTGTTCGTGACTTACGCCTTCACTGGCTTGTTTTTGTTTTTTGAGATGGGGGTTTCTCTAGTCACCCTGGCTGTCCTAGAATCCACTCTGTAAACCAGACTGGCCTTGAACTCTGCAGATCCACCTGCCTCTGCCTCCCAGTGCTAGGATTAAGGCCTGTGCTGCCACACCCAGCTTTTTTTTTTAATTATTTATTATATATACAGTGTTCTGCCTGCATACCAGAAGAGGGCACCAGATCTCACTATAGAGGGTTATGAACCACCATGTGGTTGCTGGGAATTGAACTCAGGACCTCTAGAAGAGCAGCCAGTGCTCTTAACAGCTGAGCCATTTCTCCAGCGCCCTCCCCCCACTCAGCTCTTAAAGAGATTTTTAAAGGGCTACATAGTAAGACTCCTGTCTCAAAAAAAAAAAAAAAAGGTAAGCTAAAAAACAGAATTTTTGTCCTCATGGTACCAAGAGGCTGCCTAGATGTATATGTGTGTACATGTCTGAGAGTGAGTATTTAGAAGCATTTATATTATATTATATTATATATGTAATGTATGTTTTTATATATACTTGTATTGCTTTGTGTAAGTGTGGAATATCTTGAAAAAAAAATCAAAATCAACAAGAAAAACCTGATAGGAGAAATTTAGCAGAGGCCTTCTGATTTTCATGGGTAAGGAAAAAGGTTCTAAAAATCTTACACTGACCAGAAGGTCCAAGAAGGGTGAGCGATTCACAAGCCTGGTGTGTAAGGGGAACACCCAGGATCTATCCAGGAAGCACAGGATCCTGAATCCAGAAATCCCAGCTGAGAATCAACCTCAACCAGCCCCAGGCCAATCCCAGCCCAGCTGCAGCCCATCCCCCACAGAGGCCTTACCGGATCTGCGGCCAGCCGGTTAGGAATGGTGGGGGTCTGTTGGTCAACACACACCACCTTTTTCATATCTTCAAAGCTGGGGTCATTAGGTACCATGTCATAGAAGGGCGGCCTGTAATCCTCCACAATGCCTGGGGGTTCGAGGGGGATAGTGTGATCACTTGAGACTTAGGGAGACCAGAGAGCACCCAGGGGAAAACTTTGTCAGGCCTCTGTCCCAAGGGACCTGGAGCTAAACCATATTGCTCGCTAAAGGTCCAATCCTACAATGTAATCCCTGTCCTACAATGTAACAATTGTACCTAGCACAGAATTACTATGTATTTTGTACTTCCCAGGTGGTGTTTGCCTTAAGAAGCACATGACACACTTTCCACGAGTCCTCATGGTAGCGCTATGCTGTGCCTGTCCTGGATGAAGAGACTCAGGCTAAGAAGCACGGGACTCAGGTTGCCTGGCCAGTCACAGCAGACTCAGGACTTAAAACCCATCTTAGCTTCCCAGGCAGGATCACATTTCCATCGTCCTCATCTGTCTTCCTTCCTGGACCTGGGTAGCCTGGGTACCACTCCCTGACTGGTGATACTGACGGCTGGTATTCCAGAGCACTTCCTGTGTGCCAGGCAGGGTCCTTGGTGCTGGGCATGGACCTCACAGCAGCCCGTAGGGACTGTACCACTGTAGTTCTCCTTATTAGCCAGAACAGCTCTAAAGACAGTGACTTGTCTCTAAGGATCGAGCGACTACCTGAGCGACTGAAGGCCAAAATCCAACACCAAATCCCATGCTTCTGACCTCTCAACTACATCTATGGTAGGGCTGAACAGGGACAAAGGACAGAAAAGACACCTCTCCTAAGAGGAAATGATTTATTCCCTGGTCCATAGCATCTAATCTACTCCCTATCAGGGAAGGCTCATCCCTCCGCAGACCCCACAGCCAGCAGCGTCCCCACCCCTTGATATCCCAAGGGCACTGAAACAGGAGCCCTTTTGAAAGGTATGTCTGTGGGGTCAGAGGTAGTTCCGTGCCTCTTCCTGCTTCCCAATCCCAGGCTGCTTTTGTGACCATGTAGGCCACAACTTCAATGAAGCCTTCACCAGCTGTTCTCCCCATGGCGGTCTTCCAGGCCGCCCCTGTGCCGCTGGCGCCCTAATCAGTGATTTGCAGAGGCTTGAGCGAGTCTAATGAGCCTTTAATCAGTGCCGGGGCTGACACCAGATTACAGTGTTTATAATGCGCTCGGAGTCTGTGTGGGGCTGACAGAGCTTCCCCTCCGCCCAGGGAGCCCAAGGCCGATCCACCAGTCCTTCCTTTCCAGCCTGTAGCCAGGCCCAAGAGTTCTTTGGTTTCATCGAGGCGCCCCTTCTCTAGCTCCAGCCTCACATAGCTGACTCTAGTGGTTCATGCCCAGGGACTGGAACCCCTGGAGACTCTAGGAGAGTGAGAACACCTGGGTCTCTGCTATCAACAAGTGACCACTGAGGAAAGATGAAGTTGCAAAAGGCTGGCTCCTGGTGGATGCCCAGGAAATGACAGCATCTCTGCTCCCAGGGAGCAGGGCTCTAGTCTGGTCCAGGGATTGTCCTAATCATCTTTCTGGACTCCTGGCAACCGTGGTCATGGACAGCCTAACATTGCAGTGGTCAGCCTGTGCTCCTCCATCTACCCCGAGACTGAGAGGCCATCAACTCGGGCTGCACAGGGCAGCAAGCACAGGGCGAGGGCTTCTGCCAGCCTCTCCCAGTTAAGGTGTCTCACGGCAATCGACTGTCATAACGAGGCTGCAATAGGCAGGCAACACAGATACCAGATAGAAGAATTAAGGGTCAACATTTAATTGTCATGTGACAGAGGACACTGGCCCAGAGCCAGGTGGCTGGCTTAAGTCCTGCAGCTGCCTCTAGCCAGCTATAACCCTTCCTCTTAGACTGTGCTTTATAAAATGGAATAGTATTACATGCGCTTTTTCACGATGACCGCTAATATTTAGCTCTAGGCACTGTCTGCTTTTTTGCTTCTTTCATTTTTTTTTAAATATTTACTTATTTATTATGGATACAATATTCTGTCTGTAGGCCAGAAGAGGGCACCAGACCTCATTACAGATGGTTGTGAGCCACCATGTGGTTGCCGGGAATTGAACTCAGGACCTTTGGAAGAGCGGGCAATGCTCTTAACCACTGAGCCATCTCTCCAGCCCCCTTTCATTCTTTTTTATTTTTATTTCTTTTTTATTTTTGTCAGGGTCTCTCTGTAGTCCTGGATGATCTGAAATTCACTATTTATATAGACCTGCCGGCCTTGAACTTGGGGCAATTCTTCTGCTTCCTGAGTACTGAGATTATTAAGTGTGGGCCACTAAGCCTAGCTTCTAGATATTGTTCTAAATACTTAATTTGGATCATCCCTGTGACTGCAGCAAGCATTCTACCACTGAGCTGTATCCCCACCCCAGCTCTGAATACTTATGGGATTTTTGTTTATTTATTTATTTCTAACTCAAGACTTCACGGGCTCAGAGGAACCTTAAAAGTCCTTCTGTGCTGAACTAGTTGATAAACAGCAGTAACGGAATGCTGGGAGAGCTAGTCTCAAACCCTGAGGTCACAGGTCACACGCCCACCTCCTATAACCCCCACCCCCATCCCCCACCCATAAGGAAGCCCAGTCTCTATCTATTACACGCAACACACACACACACACCACAAACATTCACACACACGCACACTGTATATGGTGGGCCCTCACCATTGATGATGGTCCGCCGGGCGATCTCCCACAGCACTAGGCCAAAGGCCCAAACGTCCGTCCACTTGTATGACTCAAAGCAGTCGGTTCGGATCTGTTCATCCAGCACCTCGGGTGCCATGTACCTCTTGGTTCCCACTCGGGGGTTGTTGCCGATGTCTAGGTAGTCACTACCCTGGGAGTGCATCACAGCCAGTCCTATGGGTATTTGGCTTGTCAGTCCTCCAGGGCACCCACAGAGGACGGCTACTCCCATCCAGGGGAGCCCGGGCTAGAGCCAGATGCAGTGAGGACAGAAACAGACACAGAGGAGCAAGGCAATGGAGACCTGTCCTGAGACAGCCTGGAATACAGACAGAGCCAGAGGGGAACTTCTGTTCCATGTACCCTTTGCTTTATACAGCTCTCAAGGTTCCCAAGAACCCAAAGGCAAAGTAGGCATTATGATGCCCATTTTACATGGTAGAACTTCAGGCAGGTTGGGAGAAGTCAGAGTAAGGTGTTCCTGCCTCCCAGTCCGCTTTCTGGAAGTAGAATAAATGGCAGAGAAGTCTGGGCTGGAAACAATTTGTTTGTTTTGAGACAGGGTTTCTCTGTGTAGCCCTGGCTGTCCAGTATCTCACTCTGTAGACCAGGCTAGCCTCTAACTCAGAGATCCACCTGCTTCTGCCCCTGCCCCTGCCCCCGCCCCTGCCCCTGCCCCTGGCTCCTGAGTGCCCCGGCTTGGAAACAGGTTTTAAAGTGCTAATTCTCTCCCCCACAGAAACAGGCAGAACTGAGCATGTGAGCCCCACCCACCTGTGAAGCTCCGCCCCTCCAGTCCTGCTCACCCAGATCTGCAATGCAACATTGCAAGTTGCTCTTGACCAGCACATTGCGGCTCTTGAGGTCACGATGGGCGATGGCTGGTTTGCCTTGAGTGCCAAAGATCTCTACATGCAGGTGTGCCAGGCCACAGGCCGCGGACACGGCTAACTTCAGGGCCAACTGGGGCTCCAGCGTTTGCCTCTGCAAAAAGTCATAGAGGGAGCCGTGCTCATGGTAGTGGGTGATGAGCCACAGCTGCGTGCTCGAGTTGCGGGAGGTCATGTCAGAGGCGATGAAGCCTGTAGGTAAAAGGGTGTGATTCCGTCAAAGCGCTGAGGAGGAAGGAGTGGCGGGGGTGGTGAGGGGAAGCTAAGGCTGAGGGGCTCAGAAGGGGGGGGGGCAGAGGCTGATGACATGGCTGGAGTCAGGGGTTAAAGGTTGAAGGGGTTTGGGAGTCACTTAGTGTTAGACCAATGCCCAGCGTTCTGTCTATTCCAGTCCTGAGCTAAGGGGCTTGGGTCACTTAGGCCTGGAATGTGTCCCCTCCTTGCCTAGGATGTTGTCATGCCTAAGCAGAACTGTGTTGTAGATCTCCGTCTCCCGGAACCAGGACTGTTCATCCCGTGAGGAGAAAATCTTGACAGCCACACTCTCGCCGTGCCATGAACCCCGCCACACCTCGCCATATCGGCCCTTCCCTAAGCCAGTGACCAAGGGAAGAACAAGAGTCACACACTAGACACACAACAGTCCTAGAAGCCCCACCCCCAACCCTGAATGCCGCAAAGACACCTTCTGCAAATCCTGAATTTATTTTTTGACGTTTATTTTTCAGGCACGTTCTCATTGTGTGTCACTGGCCAACTTGGAACTTGCCATATAGACCAGGCTGGCCTTGAACTCACAGAAATCTGCCTGCCTTTGCCTCCTAAGTGTTGGGATTAAAGGCATGCGCCACCACATCCAGCTTTTTTTTTTTTAAAGATTTTATTTATTACATATACAATACAGTGTTCTGCCTCCATGTATGCCTGCATGCCAGAAAAGGGCACCAGATCTCATTTTAGATGGTTGTGAGCCACCATGTGGTTGCTGGGAATTGAACTCAGGACCCCTGGAAGAACAGTCAGTGTCCTTAACCTCTGAGCCATCTCTCCAGCCCGACACATCCAGCTTTTAAACTTTTTTAAAATTACATTTATTTATTTGTATGTGTGCATGTGTTTAATGCACACGGGCTAGGATCACATATGTAAGTCAAAGGGCAACCATGGAAGACGGTTCTCTCCTTTCATGAAGTACATACCAGGGTGAGGTTTAGGCCCTCACCTTCTGAGCTATCCTGCTGTCCCCAACCCGAATCTCTACATAACTTAATCCACATCCTGCCCCAGATTTGAGCTACCTTAGGTTATCATAACTGTCCTTGCAGAAGAACTTAACCTTGACGCATTACCAACCCGTGTCCTGCCCAGTGGAATCCCTTATTCTGGTCCAGGCTGGCCCCACTTGTGATCCTGGAAGCCAAGAGCTTCCTGATCTCTCCAGGGTTACCGGAGCCTTTAGTCCCTGGCTACTCATTGCTTACCCACACACTCCACCAGTGCGACCTGCCGGGCTACTGTCCTCTGCACCAGGAAGGGGAGTCCGGAGCCACTGCCCGTGGTACAGTCGCTGTCCAGGAAGTCCTAGGAATACCAAGTAGCCACTGAGTGTCTGCCCATCAGCCACAGCCCCTTTCTCCACTCCCTACCTCTGTCCCACTGTTGGGGCACTGCCTGATTCTCACTGCTGTCTTTGGGTGACCCCCTGATACTGGTGCCCCTGTTTACATACCCACCCCCAGGTCCCAGGTTGTCATAGGTCCATACCCCCAACATGCTGTCTCCCTGTTCGGACGCCTTCAGGATGAGGCTGGACTCGCCCAGGTCACTGTGCAGACCCTGTTGCTTCTCCTGCCTTCGCCGGACATGCCACAAGCCCAGAGCACCCAAGGCCACCAGGACTAGCAAGGCCAGCACGGGACCCAAGATCAGAGGCAGGTGGGTATTTGTTGGCCCCTCCGAAGGAGTTGGGGTGGCTGGGAAGAGAGGGATATTGAGTAGCTCCACCAGGCCAGTTCTCTTGACCCTGACAGTTAGATCCCAGCATCCCACCTCTGGAAGAGCCTCTGGACGTACCCTCCAGCACCAAGGACACATTGTGGTTGCAAAAGGATCGATAGCAGCAGTGGTGATTGAAAGACTCTGTGGGGCGTCCCAAACAGAGTTCCTGGTTCATGTTCCCACAGCCCCGAAAGACCTGGGGGTGCCCGCCCTGTTCGCGAACTAGCACCACTGTGCACCATGCCCCCTGGCAGGTTGGTTTCTTGCAGTGTGGGCTCTCACAAGTGCAGTTCACCAGCCGATCCCTGGAGGCTTTTACCATACCTCCTGGAAGACACAAGAGAAATCCGGGCACTTCCTCCTACCGTCCTGTCCCTTCTGATTTCACAGGCAAACTCTCAGGAGTTAGTCTTTAATGCCATCCACTTGCTGTCCTTCTCTAGGAGCCTTACCCCCAGCCGCACAGGCAGTGGAGACTGTGAGAAGCCAGCTTTGGTCTACTGCCTGTGCTGGGATTTCTTCTCCCTACTACAGGTCCTGCTCTGGTCCCAGACTCTCCCTGTTCACACCCCTTCTGCCTCCACCCAAGATGTAGGTTCTACCCAGCTAGGAACTTCATCATACAAGTCAGTATCATCAAGACAAAGAGAAGATTGGAGCTGGTGAACTAGTCCATAGGAACCTACCCTCTACCCTCCTGCCAGGCTCCTGGGGGACTAGTCTACAGGAGTCACCCTCTACCCTCCTAAGCTCCTGGGGGACTAGTCTATAGGAGTCACCCTCTACCCTCCTAGGCTCCTGGGGACTAGTCTACAGGAGTCACCCTCTGCCCTCCTAGGCTCCTGGGGAACTAGTCTATAGGGGTCACCCTCTGCCCTCCTAGGCTCCTGGGGAACTAGTCTATAGGGGTCACCCTCTACCCTTCTAAGCTCCTGGGGGACTAGTCTATAGGGGTCACCCTCTACCCTCCTAGGCTCCTGGGGAACTAGTCTATAGGGGTCACCCTCTGCCCTCCTGCTAGGCTCCTGTTCTCAGCTCATCAGATCCAGCCCCAGCCAAAGCTGAGCTGAGCCCAGATGGCCTTCCTCCATTCAGGTCCCTGGTTTCCACACTGCCCCTCCCATACTCACCCTTGGTTAGGCCCAAGGCCACCAGCAGCATCAGAAGGCCCTTTCTGGGGATCTCTGAGGTCATGGTCCTTGGAGTTAGGAGCAGAGATGCGGTGAGATCTGCAAAATGTGACAGCCGTGGGTAACCAAGGTCTCCTCCTACCAGGAGGAAATCACTGGGAGTATTTCTGGGGGGAGGCAGGGAAGCCACCTCCCCACTCCTACGTCTGACTTTAGGGCGGGGCCTGCAAGGGAAGTCCTGCTTCACTTCCCCATGGAAACCATCTGTTGGGGGTGAGGGTGGAAAGCTGTGTTTAAATGATGTGAGCCAGAGGGCATCCCGGCTCTGTGCCCCACTGCTGGGTTCTGACAGGAGCAGACTGGAGGTAGGCAGCACAGACGGTCATAGCTACAGTGGAAGAATACGTCTTTCCTAGCTCCCCCCATCCTCTGCCACTTGCCAACCCCTCCAGTCTCCACCCCTGCCCACCCTTTCCCAGTGCCCCCCACCCCCCATGCCTGGCTGCTTCAAACATAAACAGGCTCCTGTCTTCACTTCCTGCCATTCAGGGTCCCGCCAGGCCGGCAACAGGAATCAAGATTGTTTAGATTGAAGTCTGGATAGGACAGGCTGGAGTCACGCACAGCAGGGAACCCAGGGCAGGCTCCAAGTAGAACGGGGTCTAAAGGGGGCACCTGGAGCCCTTACAAACCACCAACTCCAGCTCCAGTTTTATGATTTTTTAAAGTTTCATTCGTTATTATTTTGTCTGTGTTTAAGGGCTCCTGTGCCAATGCACAAGTGTGGAGATCAGAGGGCAATTCTGTGGAGTTGGTTCTCTCTTCTTACCTTTACATGGGTTTTGTCACCAAGTTTACGTGGCAAGCATCATCACCTCCTTAGCCATCTCTCTGTCCTGCTCCCCTCCCAGCTCTGGTTTTAGAGGAGGGAGTCAGGCCAGGGGAGGAGACTGGCCAGGCTCCATTAGAATTGTCTTGCAGTAACAAGAGTGGAACACAAGTCTAGAACCCCTCCACCACTCTTCCTTCTCTGTGTCCTGAGCCAGTGGTGTCAGCCCCTGCCTGCTTCCCCAGGCTTGTAGCAGCCATATGTGAGCCTGCCTATGTCTAGGTGGAAAGAGTCTGTTCCCCCTCAGAACCATCTGCCCTCCCTCTTTTGTCCTGGGAAAGGGTGTGGGAAGAGTCGGTAGTAATGGGAAGTGAAACACATTTGGGCCTTGCGAAGTTGCCTGGTGTTTGACTCTTCAGAAGTTGGATGAGCACTGGGGAGAAGGGTTTTCTGGTGCATGAATGAAACTCAGGACCCAAATCAACTAGGACTTTAGGAGCTGTACCTTCACCAAGCCTCCGGACCAGAGGGTAGGTGCTGAGGCTGCACAAGAAGGGCAGAAGTCAAAACACAGACTATGTGAACGTACAGGCTGAATCTCCAGCTAGGGGAACTAACGCAGAGAGTGACTTACGATAAGACATGAGAAGGGCTGGATATACGTGTCCTGTGATGTGTCATGAGAAGGACTGGATATACGTGTCCTGTGATATGAGAGGAGAAGGTCTGGACATACAGTCACATAGACCACAGAGGCCCGTGTTCAAATCTTGGTACCAAACTAAGACCCAAGATGCTGAGGCTTTGGGAGCGCAGGATGTCTAGGGTCAGGCTGGGGGGCTTGGTGGGTCTTTCTGGCTAGTGGCAGCCCTGGCCTTCCTGCCTGGGTTTCCTCTGCTCCAGAGGCTGGTCTGGGGGAGGAAATAGAGACCTGGGCTGTTGCAGCTGTGTCCCAGCCTCGGCCTGACCTCCTGCCTATTGCCCCTGCTAGAAGCCAGTTAGGAATCTG